GGCTATGTTATGGCGAATTCCACTGGTCGTTTTGGAGCGCGCCGGGATCGACTTTTCTGGAGCGAGCCTATTTCACTGGGCGATCGGGATTGAGACCGACATGTTTCACTGGTCGTTTTGGATTAGCTCCCGCTCCAGATCTCGATCTGGATCCGATGGCGAATTCCACCGGTGTTTTGGAGCGCGCCGGGATCAGTTCACCAGATCCGGAATGGAGCTCACAATCCGAACGGGGTCGCGCCGGCGATGGATCCCCCGTGGAACATGACCACTGCTCCGGGATCGGCATTTGCCTTCATGTCATTCAACTGCCGGGGAATCCCCTTTCCGCGGCCGCCGCGGTCGTTTCGAACACGTTTTCGCAATCACGGCACTAACACGTGTTCGACGCACGAGCGGCAGGAATGGCTCAGGAGCTTCTAGCAAAGATTGCCGGAATGCCCGTAGCGCGGCCCCCAAAACCTTCTCTTCTCCTTCCTAAAAAACGAACCGGCTGTCGAGCCAAAAGGTAAAGACCCTGTCACACTGAGGGGACAGATGGACAACTCTATCCGGCAAGTCGTGTTGCCGGCGACCCTGTCACATCGCGGCAACAACAGTCGGGCAACATATTGCTGCCGCCCCGCAACAGTGTTGCCCGATTTGTTATCCGACAACGCTATCACACCGCACTGACGGCGAGGACAATACGGGGAACACTCCGCCATCTTGATTGTTTACCTTCGTTCGTGTGCGGCGCGGAATCGCTGAAAATGTGACTCTACAAAGTGCTAGTGCGTTCGAAGGGCCGGGAATTACCACGGCACGACACCAACCAGTGGCTGTAATTAGAAAACTTGACACGGGGAGTATTTTCCGCTCTTTATTTTACCGAGATGTTCATCATTCGTTGACAAAGCAGATAGCCCCAACCGAGGAAAGTGACATCGCTGATATATGTTCGGCATTTATGCCACCGTATGAAGTGTTTCTGTCCGGTTCTTTCATGCAATTCCTATTTCTACTGTGAAATTGCGTTAGCACCAGCAGTACCCCAAACCGTCTTTTGTAACGTGGTGTTGAGCTGAGTTGAACTGACAGTGCTTTAAAACTGCGACACCGACGCCATCGGCCTTCATAACAATCGGTGGAATAAATATTTTTCAACGCTGTCTACTTGTCTACCGCCTGCTATGTGATCGATTCATTGCCCCAAAACGTCCTGGGTATTTTTGAAACAAATCAGGTGTCTGGTAGCGGCTGGTTCCAAGTATCAACGTTTTCGCAATCGCGGCGCTAATACGTGTTCGACGCACGAGCGGCAGGAATGGCTCAGGAGCGTCTAGCAAAGATTGCCGGACTGCCCGTAGCGCGGCAAAACCCTTCTCTTCTCTTCTCATTCCTGGAAAACGAACCGGCTGTCGAGCCAAGGGGTAAGCAAGCGGCCATTACCATTTCTTCTGAGGCGAGATCAGGCGAGATGCCCGCGAGAAAGGAAGTCACGTGTGTGCGCCAAGGGCTGACCCGGCTGGCTTCCGGTTGAATCCGCCAAAATCGGGGGAGCGACTCTCTCGGATCCAGATCGAGATCTGGAGCGGGAGGTAATCCAAAACGACCAGTGAACACGTTCGTCTCGATCCCGATCGCCCAGTGAAATAGGCTCGCTCCGGAAAAGTCGATCCCGGCGCGCTCCAAAACGACCCGTGGAATTCGCCACGAGAAAAGTCGCTCCCACGATTTCGGCGGATTCAACCGGAAGCCAGCCGGGCCAGCCCTCGGCGCACACACGTGACTTCTTTTCTCGTGGGGCATCTCGCCTCAGAAGAAGAAGAAGCACGTGGCGGGCTAAGCTCCTAGATTGTCTCGACATCAGAAGAATTCGTAATGGCCGCTTGCTTACCCATTGGCTCGACAGCCGGTTCGTTTTCCAGGAAGGAGAAGAGAAGGTATTTGCCGCGCTACGGGCATTCCGGCAATCTTTGCTAGAAGCGCCTGAGCCATTCCTGCCACTCGTGCGTCGAAAACGTGTTAGCGCCGCGTAGCGAAAATGTCTTCGAAACGACCGCGGCGGCCGCGAAAAGGGGATTCCCGGGCAGTTGATTGACGGGAAGGCATCCGCCGATCCCGGAGCAGTGGTCATGTTCAACTGGGGATCCGTAGGCGGCGCAACCCCGTTCGGATCTTGTGCTCCAATCTGGATCTGGTCGACTGATCCCGGCGCGCTCCAAAACGCCCAGTGGAATTCGCCATTAGTATTCGCGTCTCCAGCTCCTTAATCGCCCTCCTGCGGCGGAAACGGGAAGCGCTGTAATGAGGGTCCCCCGATTCTCCTGTTTAGCGGACACGGCGGAACTGCACGTGATCATGGCTCGCGTAATGTCATTTATGAACGCAAACAATATTCTTCACTGTCCCAACGTAGTGCTGCAGCCGGTATAGGATTGTACTTCACTAAAAAGTTTTAGTATTGCGTACAAAAAAAAATTGGGTGGTGTGTATGTTTATATACAGCCTAGAACTTGGTCTGCCTCAACAGGCGACGAGTCACCCAGCTCTAGATGAGAAATTTCGCCAGTGCAGAACAACCGCTAGCCTGGGGTCTTTAACGTGCACCACGCAGTAGTGCCACACGACCGCACGCCGGTATGATGCTCATCCAGATCGAAACGGACAGGGGTGGGGTATCATCCAGATCCAAACGGGCAGGGGTATAGAAGCAAACGAAAGCGCTGTGCGCTTGCGTTAGAGTTGCGTGCCCCACGTTGTGCGTGCGCCTCATCACCATGCGCCAATCCAAGACTGCAATTTTGGGCTCCGCGCACGCGCTAACGCAAACACGCAGCGCTTGCGTTCGCTCGTATACGCAATAATAAAACTCACAACACTTTCACCGGCTTCCAACGCCAGCGCTACGTGCTGCAGCGAGCAGACGTGCAAGCAGGGTAGGCGTTCCTTCAAACTGGAAAGGCTGAAATTGGCTAAGCTACGGTGCGTAAAATTAAAGCAACTAAATGTTATAAAAAAATTAATAACCAAAAAAAATCCCTTTTTTATTTTTTATTTTTTTTTATTTTTGGGGCATTTGGTTGGGAAGGATTTTGGCGGCGACTTTGTAACTATTGCCGATTGTAAAAGGCGCGACGTTTCATAGCAAAATTTGCTTTACCCAGAAATAATACAATTTTACATGGATTTCCCACATTATCGAGATTGTTTTTATTGATGCTAGACTATTTTTTATTTTATAACTTGGCAATTAAAAATGCTGCATTTGGCACCAGTGATGATAAATAGCATACTTTTGATTGTCATACTTGTTCGCGCGTTTGAAATTAGGACATAAGCAACAAATTATATTAGAGTTTGAAAAATTGCGTATTCAAATATCTGAATTTTATTATTATTATTATTATTACAAATCACGGCAGTGTATGACCCTAATTAACGCCAGGATCACAAAAATACGCCATTTAACAATAATAGTCCTTCCCGAAAGGCATCATTTTTTTTTTCTTTTTAGCATATGAAAAACTCTGACTTCGTTATCAAGGTAGACAAACAGTCAAACACTGGATGCAATATAAAATCTGAGCGGGACAAGGCAGCGAGAACGCACAAATATCAGCACTGATTTTTTTCAACAACTGCAATATTCTATGTTACCTCTAAGATGTTTGAAAGACCCTGTTTAAAATATTTTGAAGTGCATGAATCGAACATGTATGTCACAAAATAATGTTCCTGCGCTTGCCCGACGAGATGGGGGGACAGGCTGTTTCGCCGAGAGCGGCGGAAGGACGAAAGCGCACGTCGAGGCGAAGGCAGACGGGAACTTCGCGGTATAGAGTCGGTACCGGGGCAGGGGTCGTCGGAGGTACAGAGCGCGACACTGTTAACGCGAACAAGCGATCGCCGGTTTTTCCAGTTTTTCTCTTTGAAACCAAGAGTTGTCATCCAAGTTATTATTGCTAGGGAAAGAGCTTATTTAGTTCTACAATGTAAGCGATAACATTTTGTGCTCGCTAATACTAATTAGAAGTAAAACGCGAAAATGCGCCGATATCGTGTTCGCGTTAACAGTGTCGCGATGTGTGCTTCTCGATCTCCCTTGGTCGCTCCCCAAGGCGGGGTCGCGGCTCTTTAGGCGCAAAACCTTGCAGACTCATCTGTCGGTATGCGCACCTTCGGTTGACGTGGTCGGCCTCGCCGCAGTGATAACACAGTGGTCGTCAATCGGACGTGCGCCACACATCCGTCTTCCTAGGCGCCGTTTTTGTTCAGACGAGTTGGGGCTGCCCTTCTCGACGTTGGAAAGTATGCCGCACTGCACTATAAAAAAAGCCCGTGCGTCTATTTTCCCGCACCACACTCGGAGAGCCAATCACCGCAACAGCGTCGCAGGCGTCGGGGCGAGACCCACTCTAGCTTGCCACGTGGAGCCCCTTTGGTACACGCGTGAGCATTTCGTACAACCGGCATAGAAGGTTCGGCGCGTAGAACATTCGTACCTTGAACAAGCAACAGGACTCTCGAATTGACCAGAACGCGACATCTACAGAGATAACAAAAAGGTGCGTATATGCTACCAGTCATCAAACCTCGGCCCTTTCCGTGGGAGCCAAGCCCGATAACGATTCGGCTACGAGCGCGCTGCCTGCTTAGCAAGCCGTGTGCGCGGCAATAAGATCATAAGTAGCGAGGATCATAAGCGGTGAAGTCACAGTGACGGGCAAAACCTGGTCGCGACATCGCATTAAGGTACTTACCATAAAATGATGCCACTGGAACAATCGGAGTGAATGGGTATAGACTGCGATGTTTTAATGATGTTTGTCTCTTAGAACTATTTCTGTTACTGCCCGTTTTATAGCACGCGCGCAAGGTTGAAGGTCGACACATTGCAGTGGAGGGGAAAACATTTATTTTCACCTGAACTGTGTTTCTGCGGGTAAAATAATTTTTTAGCAGTACTTTTTTCTTCAAAATTTGGCTTGACACGATAAGGAATGAAGATATCAGCGTTACCCAGCGCCTGGCAACGCAACCACCATTAACGCAACAGTTATGAGCGCGAGGCAGCTGGCGGAGGATGCGCCGAATCCGCCTGAGTCGTGCGGCGATGCACAGAGTCCCATTTCCCGTTGACAGGTGGTCTCCTGAGGGCACTTGCTGCAGGGTTCGCCGGCTTCATAGATCGGCCTTCTCGCCACGTTTCCACTGAAAAACAAGGCAACATATTGACATCTCTTTTAGGACCCGGTACGCATATATTCAGTCTAAGAAATAGGGATCATTAAAAGGGCGTATTTTTTCCTAGGACTTTAAACGGTTTGTCATGCAAAAAGGCCGAATCGATAGAACACATGTGTTTAGATTCTTGGGAAACTGTGTTCTGTTGGGATGTTCTGGAACGAACCCAGAAAAAGGACCTTGATTTCACGCGCGCGGGATACGTTTCTTGGCTGTAGCCAAACTCACTACGTGACTTGTGGTCATTGGTTTACGCGGTATCTGGAAGAGCCGCATGACGGCGAGGTACGCCGATCTAGATGCGCTAAATGTGTGCCAGCATTTGTCTCAAAGCATCAGCCAGATATGAGAAGTGTATATAAAACTTTAGACGATGGCCACGATTGGTTTGCTGGTCCTAGACGGGCCAGTCATATCAAGATCGTTTTAATCAGTATGCGGCAGTCGCAATTCTGCTTAACTGTGTTAGAAGTGTATTTAAAAGGGTATTTGTCGTGAATAAATAATGTCAGGAAAGAAATATATATATAAAAAGAAAGGATCGGTGGCCTAGCGGAGCACGTGGAGCGAACGCTCGCTTTGCTGAACCCACGGATCCCAGGTTCGATTTCGGCTCCTGTCCGTTTCGATCTGAATGAGCATCGTACCGGAGTGCGGTCGTGTATCTCTACTGCGTGGTGCACGTTGAAAACCCCAGGTTACCAGTGGTACTGCACTAGATAAACTTGTCATCACGGAGGTAGGAAGCTTCCGGGGGTGACATGACACCACCAGAAGTGATGCCAGAGGCATGCCGCCACCGATGACTAAAACAACAATTGTTTTGGCCATCGTTGGCGGCGTGCTCCTTTAAACTTCTAGCATCCTCTCTGGTGGCATCATGTCACCCCCGGAAGCTTCCCACCGCCACTCCATGCTTCTCACCAAACGCGGAGACACTAGATCTCCATTGTAGGTGACTAACCTATCGCCGTGTAACAAACAGACAACACAATTACCATTATTCTTCTAAGATATAAAAAAAAATGAAAGACGTTTACAAATCTCTGTAATGCAAAACTAGAGCACAGCTCTTGACGAGGTGGAGGAGGAGGGGAGGATATGGCTCTCCTGCCCCTTCGTACCGTCCCCTCTTCCTCCTCCACCGCATCTTCCCCCTTCTTCCTCTCCTCCTCCTTTCTTACTCCTCCTTTCTTCATCCTCTCCTCCTGCCGCTGAATATGTTCATGGGTGACGTGACGCGAAGTCGTGGCGTCAATTTCCCCACTAAATTTAACGGAGAAACTGAATTGGTGTCGAGGTCACACGACGTCAATTTCCTCTTTTAGCGGGGAAATTTAGCGGGGAAACGTAACCCACTAATTTTTTCGGAAAATGTTCCCCGCTAAATTCAGAGGAGAAAAATTCCCCGCTAACTTTAGCGGGGAAACGTCCCATAATGAAGCGCGCGTGTTTACGCCGACGCCGCCCATCCCGGAAACGGGCGCCTAAGAGCTGCGCTCTAAACACGTATATAATTCGTCTTAAAAAAGGAGTAAAAAAAGTAAGAGTTTGCAGCTGCGATTTACGCAGAGAGCTTGGCGTATGAATCCAAAAACCATGCTCAGAATCACAGCGCATACCTTTCTTTCTCCTTTTTTTAGCTAAGTGGAAAGGGTATATAAACTCCATTACAAAAGAAAAGGAACACGCGAACATCTGCACGAGTATTTGACGCCATAGTTATTGGGGTATTAGGCACTTTGCCAACTACGCTTCGAGATACCTTTCCTTTCAATTTTTCACCAAGAGTACACAATGCCTGGTACGCACCATAGTTGCGGAGTTGCCACTCCGGATTTGGAATGATTCCGGAATCATTATGCATTTTCGCGACCACGGGATGGAATGGGAATGGAATGGCGGCAACGTTGAGGGGAATGGAATGGGAATGGAGTTTGATGCGTTTTGACCGGAATGGAATGGGAATGAAATGGGCCCGGTTCCTTATTTTTGATTCTTTTTGTGTGTGTATGTGTGTGTGTGTGTGTGGGGGGGGGGGGGGGGTGCGGGGGTTACGTTCAGGTTAACCGAGCCAGTCAGCGGGTCAGTTGCTCAGAAATAAAATGAGCGGGAAACCGCTAGCTGGCGTGGATCTATAAAAAAACTGATACGCAAAAGAATGCAATACAAAAAACATGCGTCAAAGCAAAGAGCGGAGGGAGGAGGGGGGGGGGGGGGGGGGGCGCTGTTCACGGATGCGCAGGCGATGGGCTTTACTGGTGTTACAGGAGAGCGAAACAAGAAACCAAGCACCAAGCAAAAGGAACGAAGGGAGCGGCAAAGAAAGAAACTGGCCTGCACGGCTTCTCATCGTCCTTCTTGTCTTTTTTTTTTTTTTCTCGATGGCATGAAGAATGCACGCGCGCGCACAGACAGTGATCTGGGAGCGGCGAGCGACTCATAACTCGCAGAGCTCTGATAGCTGGTTGACTCGCGCGCCACCGAAAGATGAGCAGTTATTGTATCTTATAGTTTGAGGAGCGTTGTTTAGCAGGTGGCCAACCCTGCTGCCTTCCACGTTCATTCGCGAGTACTACTTTGAAGTCAGAAATCTGGGTTTGCTTCGGCATTAGAACAAAGAGGCTTCACTTCTTTCTTCTCCTCTTGCGCTTTGCTCCGATGCTTGTTTTTTTTTTTTTTTTTTATATGCTGCAATTTTAATTGTAAGTCTGCCTTTTCCTTGGTCTTTGTTCTGATGCTTGTTTTCTGTGTTATATGTTTTACAATCAAGTGGGTTAGGGTTACCAGCAAGCTAGCGGATGTCCGTACATTTTCTTTGAATTTAGTCTCTGCATACCTTGTTTCACCTTGCGATGGACCGCTGCGGACGCTACGAGTCACCTCAGGCAATCCGGCACCGTGAGCTTACTAGAACCAGTGTTTTTTCGTGGCCTACAGCATTTTTTGCAATTGTCTATGCATTTGATAATGTCAGCTTTATGCTGCTTATGCCGGTAAGATTCACAATGTAGCTGTCAATTGCCAATTTTTACGTTTAGGAATTAGAGGAATGGAATGGAACGATTCAGTCAATCCAGGAATGGCAATGGGCCCAGTGTCCTCATTCCTAGGAGTTGAAACAAATTTATTTAACGAAAACTCTAATTCTCAGAATGGAATGGGAATGGAGTGGAGGTGCCCATTCCGCAACACTGGTACGCACGTCTTCGACAGCTTTGTTGAGTGTCCCATTCCGCCCATGCGTCGAGAGTAGTCCCAAAGTGGCAGCGAGTGACGTCACAAACGCCAGAGTGTCACGCTGTCGGATGTCGCGAGCATTTCAGTGACACCTATATGTTGCTAATATGCCACTCTTGTCCCGATATGAGAATGACCCCGTCGTGCATCTTTACGATCGGTTAAAAACATTCAAAACGTAAATAATATAATACGTGAACTATAATTTTTTTTTTATTATTAATATTTCCTAAGCCGGGAAGTTCTTATCGAACTTTTCTGGCTCCTATTTCCAAAGCATATATTCACATATGCCAGTGAGAATGAAGCAGTACGTATATATGTTAAATATGACTATATTTTCTCGGCCTTCAATATATTTTGGTGGTCTTCATGCACAGGGAGTTACTGATCCAGTGTTTTTTCCAAATGTTCTTCGTTTGTCTTGCACGTAAATCCCCTTTGCTGAGAAGCGCCGATGCCGTATTCGCGCTAACAGTGTCCAACAGTGCACATAATAGCACTAATGAGACTGCTTTAGCACCGTGTTCAGTGCCATAAATTCAATAAAAAACTTTGTAACTGAAAATGTTTTTCATTCCCGTGATTCATAAATGTTCCAAGCTAGTTACTACGTTACAATCATTCGCACTATTTGCTATTTTAATCAAGCGCGAAGAAACAAGGAACCCGCGTTTCCCCACAGGAAATCATCAGCGGAAATAAATTTTCGACTGGTTGCTGTCTGCTTCAATTTGAAGCAGCACCACACTAGCGCCAGTTGAACCTCTGGCGTACATTATAATAACTTTACGTATATACTCACCCTGGGCCGTAATTGCAGACGTACAGTTTTTGGTAGGGTGTTCCGCTTCTATCATTTTGTAAGGTGTACCGGGCCATGCCGCAGCCAACGGCTTCAGTGGCCGCCCAAATGACCTGCAAGTAACATTTTAGTAGTGGAAGAAAACAACAATGTAAATGTGTGCAGTGTTGTAGGCGTTACCGGAAAAAAATAAACAAAATACATTACTCGTTACTTCCAAAATAAGGGAACGCGCTACCGTTACCAATGAAAAGTAACGCACGTTACTTTTGCGTTACTTTTTATTTATGAATTGGGGCTAACAGCGTTTTTGTTTTTACGACAGCGTTTTTTAGACACCGAGACAAAGAACGGAAGCTTTTTTTTTGTTTTTTTTTTAAGCGGAACTTTTTGCGTGGGGAAAGCCAGACAACATTTTGAAGGTGTGCGGAATGAGTACAATAATTAATGACTTGCCGACTATATTTTGTTTCAGCCAGTTTAAGTCCAGACGCGGCCGACGCTACAAACTAATGGGGTCAGTCAAGCAGGGTTAAAAACGCAAGTCACTGGGTTCTTTTTGTTTATGATTGGTACAGCGATGATAGAACTCGTACAGACACACGACGAACACCATGATGTTGCCCTTTTGATGCTGTCCGATTGGTAACATCAATTCGATAACGTCGGTTGCCTCTGGACATTAGGTAAAACGAACTACAGAAGCCCGAAAAAAAATATAAGTGTACTTTTTCAGGTTTTTGAAAGATGTAACGACTAACGTAACTGCGTTACCCGTTACTTGAAATGAGCAACGCAATTACGTTACCAATTACTGCTTTGAAAACGTAACGAGTACGTTACTACGTTACGATAAAAAAGTATAGCGTTACCGGTAACGCCGTTACTTGCAACGCGTCACCGCCAACATTGCGAAAGAGCTTATGGGAAGCTTTAAATCATATAAGAACCTATCATATGTAAGATTCAGGGTGATATGTCTCAATGGGCACAAAATTAAAACAAAGAGTGTAATCCCTTAGATGAATGCTACTTTCGCTAAATGTTTCTCAAGTTTAGCGGACCTTAGCTTAGGGAATAATCGTCATGGCAAGTTTGTTAATTAGCTAAGAAACGTTAATTAATTTGTTGAATTCCAGGTGCTACGGGCCATGTTGCAATCCCAGAATCAACGGCAATTGCTATGACACTACCATTTAAAACAATTTTCGAGATTTTATTAGTGTTTGAGATAATAATTCATCTTCACGAATTTCAACTTGATATAAAAATTGCGCGCAAAAATCGCGCCACGAGCACTGCCCCCAATGACGCTTGGAGGAGTGACGTAGTCACTATTATTAGCGTCATCAGGCTCTTTCTATTTACATACACCTCGTGCACTGGTGCACAAAAGTATAGGGCGGTCTTTTTCCGGTCATATCTCAATACACCATACACGTACACGGCCCTACACTTTTCTGAACCGGCGCTGTATGAGCAGGTGAATCGAGCGAGCTTATAATGAGGGCAGAGCTTGCGGCCCGCTTTTGTCGCGCCATATTTTAATAGGGCTAAAAACGTTACATTTGAATAAATAATATCTCAAAAACTAACCCAGTTTTCCAAAATATTTGGTCTGGCCTCTAAAAGTAATTACAATGATTTCTCCGATTGGAACACGACCCGTAGAATCAGTAATTAAAAAGTTACCAAACAATATTTTAGTTAATTAGCCGACTTACCATGCCGATTATTCCCTCAACAAATGTTTGCCGAACTCGAGAAATAATTATCGAAGACGGCATTCACCCAGCAGTTTGCACACCAGTTCAAAAATTCTGTTTCCATTAAAAAATATCAACCTGTATGTAAGTTCCGATATGTTTGCTAGGAATTAGTTTTGCACATACGAATTTGTTTTTCCTTCTTCAACTGTGCAGGGGAGACACAACGAGAAAACGCTCTTTAAAATAACTTGTTGTCCCAATGCGCGACGATCTGTTTCGGTGGCGCCCCCTTACGATTTATATTTCTCACGTCACGACCGAGGTTATTAGTAGTTAGCGACAAGTTCAACGGTGCGCATGGAAACCGAGTTGAAAGCCTAGGGATCACGTTCCCAAAATGAACACCGTGGCGAGAGTTGGGAGTCTGAGTTTGCTGTTATTTCCGTCGTCAAGAACAGAGATCATCCTACTCACGACGTCATAGCGAGCGTCCGGTCAATCGCGGAAGGCCAACCACAGCGACGCCTTTGGTTGCGCATATCGCCAATAGACGCAATTCTTGACCACAATACAAATAGCAGAAAGGTGACGGGACATAATACACGCACGTGAAGTAGCACTCAACCAAAGGTATTTTTTCTTGTTCAACTAAAAAGATTTCTGTTAGTTTTTTTTTTAAATTTTCTTTCACTATACACCAACTCATGTTTACAAACAAACCGGAGCGCCCCTAGCGGACGTCACCGGCGCCGCGCATGCGCCGTGGATGGTGGGCAAGAAGCCCGCCGTCGCCCATAAACAGACCATTGAATTGCGTTGTTGTCGGCGTCGGTGGGAGTCCCCGTGCTCTTTTTCGCGTTGGAATTGTTGATTCTACGTCCTCCTAACAATGTCTGACTACTTGAGCGGCTTCAGCAAAACTATCGAGGCAAAACTTTGCGTGGATAATGTGACGTGCGGCGATTCATTTTACGTGGACGCCGCAGAATGGGCGCTAAGGCCTGACTCCCACGTCGAGATTCTGCTCGCTATTTTCAGTCGCGACGTCGCTCGGACTGCAAAAGCGTGGACCGTAGCTGAGATGGTGGACATCGATACTGAAAACCTCAAGTAGAATCGGGCATTACAAGTCGGTGATGGCCACTGGTAACAATGATCAACAACTTTTTGTATCTGTTTACACTTAGCAGACTTACCCCAACCAACCTTCAAAAGTGTTTTGAGGCCTGCACTTAGTTCTTATCGCAATTACCGGGTGAACGTTTTGTTTACGAGCCGCTGTCGTTTGAACGAACTAACGACAAAAAGCAGCCAAGTTTGAAAGAGCAGACGACAGTTCGAACGCACGCGCAATGGAGTACGGGCAAGAAGCACCGCGTCCCGCGTCAACAAACCATTCGAATGTCACGTTGTCGGCGTCTGTGTGAGTCTGCATACTCTTTTTCGCGTTGGAGTTGTCGATTCTACGTCCTCATCGCAATGTCTTACCACTTCAATCGCCTGAGCGAAATTATCAAGGCTCGTTACGCCGCTAAACTTTCCGTAAATAATTTGACGTGCGGTGATTCATTCGCATGAACGCTGCAGAATGGACGCCAAAACCATGATGAGATTCTTGTAGCTATTTTCGGTCGCGACGTCGCTCGTGCTGCAAAAGTGTAAAAGGTAGCAGCGATGATCGACATCGATACTGAAAATCGGAAGCGGGAACAGACAAAGCGTAACAAGTAGGTGCCCAGGCGAAAATCAGTCCACTTCCAGCTGGATTATGGAACTGGAAATGAGGCAGTCCAGCTGGACCCAGCTGGAATCCAGCTGGACTGCCTCATTTCCAGTTCCATAATCCAGCTGGAAGTGGACTGATTTTCGCGTGGGTGATGGCCACCGGTACCAATAATTAACATCTTGTATCTACTGTTTACACCGAGCCTACTTAAGTCTTTTGAGGCCTGCAATTACTTCTTATTGCAATCATCGGGTCAAAGTTTAGACTACGGGCCGCTTTTGTTTGAACGAGCAGACGACAAAAAGCAGACAAGTTTGAAAGAGCAGACGAAAGTTCGAACGATCAGGCGGCCGTGTGAATTTGAAGACGCACTGAATCCGTGGGTGGTCCGGACAACTTGGGGGTTTTCTCTCGGTCATGTTGGAACAAAGCAAATACATCTGGCGACTACAAATTGTGGCCCGCACACGCAATCGTAGTTCGACAGCGTCAGGTTTGCCCTTTTCACGGCTGCTATCCACGTTCTCGGACGAACGGGGGGTGCAAAAACACATGAAAACTGATCTTCAAACCTTCCCAGACTCTCTTGGTAAAGCCCCCATCGCAGCATTTTGACGAGAAGGCAGGTTTTTTGTCTCGTTTCTTCCAAAGGAACGCAGGAATGCATGTCTGGCACGGCGACTTCTGCCCACCGCCCGAGACCGGAAGTGCGTCCGGCGCGCCACCACCGCGGCGTGACGTAGAAGAGTTGAGTTGGTGTATAGCGTCAGGGGTTACATCATGATTGATAAAATGTACGCTGGCGGCGAGAACACCTACACTCGTTGCCACCTCGAGACAAAAAAACAAAAACAAAAAACAACAACAACAACTTTAGCGCATTATTATTCGCCGCGCGAGCATTTCTTACCAGATTTGGATATCTGAGAAAGAAGAGGTACTCTTGGTGTTTGCCTATATCTTGATAAGATAATATACATATATCTAGTCTAAAATTAACCGACACGAATCTTCATTCTTCACATAAAGAGGGAAATTAGTTACGCTTCGCAAGGTGCCGGACTGCTTTTTACTACGGCTTTTGAAGTAAAAAGGAGCATAGATAACAAGTCTCGTGTTGCTGGAGAATCCACGCCACATACTTGAGGCTAAAGCGGGACACGAGCGCTGCATAAGCTTTCATTTGGGACACTTGTTCGGTCAGTCTGAACGCGGGTCTCATACTTCGTTTCACTTTCAGTCCAGACGAAGCCGACGCTACGAGCTCATGGGACCAACCCGACAGCGTTAAAAGCGCACCGTCATCATGGCCGTCATCATGCACGTGTTCTAGCATCGCTGAACCGATCATAAACATAAAATACACAGTGACTTGCGCATTTCACGCTTCTTGATTGATCCTTTTAGCTAGTAGCCTAGGCTGCGTCTGGATTTAAGCTGAAACGAGATATAAACCTATAGGTGTCAATACATAAAAAAAGAAAACATTTTATTCTATATTTTTCAGCACAACTTAGCCAAAGCGTCCCCGCCCTGTCTCGACAGCATATATTTTTGTTTTCGCAGGGATCTCTCCTTCACAAACAGTTGCAGACCTGTATTACATGCTTACGATTAAGCTTTAAAAAGAAGATCGATTCTTTCTCCGAAACAAGAGAGTCACGGTCAGACTACGCGGGATATTTCATGAACCATAAAGAAAGGACGTCGAACAGAAATGCTCACCTGTGTGAAGTGTCCCACCGCCGGTCCCGACTGATGCCTTAAGCTATGGATCCCGGCCGGATTAAAATACTGGTATTCGTTGAACCATCGAGTCACTTGACCTATCACGTCCACGTCAGGATCATCGAACGAAGCCGCAGCCCAGCCCAAGTTCTGTCCGACTTGTTTAAACTTTACTGGGATAAGAGAAAATAAAAGAGACAATTAGATTTCGGGTGCTTTCACCCGCCGCAGATACTAACAGCTTCAAGGGCACGTCTGTTCTTTTTTTTTTAACTTCTAGTCTATGGTGCTTGGAGCGCGTATCTGACTAGTGTGCTTACCGCGCCCTCAATAGTTGTCCCTTGAGTTCCGACTGCCGACGTAAGAGAAGTGCGAGGGATCGATGACCCACCGTGTCAACGCACCGCAGCTCGAAGAACGCGGAGCGAAAGTTTTTGCTGCAGAACCCAGCGACCAGTGAGCTTAATCCCCATTTCTGCCCGTTTCAAGCAGGACTAGAATCACACCAGCGTGCGGTCGTGTATCACTACTGCGTCATGCACGTAAAAGATTCTCGGCTAGCAGTGGTGCTGCAGTGACAAGCAGTTCTCATCTATGGACCAAAACACCTAGGCACCCATTGGTGCTTACAGACTTCTCGTTCACGAAACATACACTAGACGCAATTTGCACAGAGGTGCCATGCTGTGAAGGAACTGTATATGCTCCGCTAGCGGAGCAGAGTATGGCAATGGCGCTCCCGGGACGGCCACGTTGGATTCTAGGCTGCACTGCGGGAAACGACCGTCGTTTTCACAGGAGATACGGCAGGCGCTGCGGCGCCAGAGCCGTATATAGGTAGGGTCTGGTCAATAGGAGGAGCCAGCAGCCGGCGGGAGCCGGGCTGGAAAACTTGCGAAGTAAAAATGTCTGAAATGACATTGAAGGATTCGCGTACCACGGCGCGGGTACGTTTTGTTTCTGTACGAGGCTGAAAGTACACGAGTGAATAACTGTAAGATATTGATGGGAAAGGGAAGTTTCAAAGTGCTGAGTGTGTTACCTGAGCCAGAAAAGGTGATATTGACGAGAAAAATTTTCTGAAACACGAGGCGAAACTGCGAAAGTGGGGTGCGCGTTTGAAGTTAGGGTCAAAACCCCCACGGAGCCGAATCTGTAGTTTTTACCGTCCACTCTAAGGACTTTAAACAGACAGGACCCGGCATGACGTCAGCCTGAGTGAAACCGGAAGAGGCGTTTAATCCCAGACTGCCTTGCGCACCCGTTCCGAGGCCGTGGGGTAGCGCACCGGCGGTTCGTCTGCTTTCTAATCTGCTCCGGCGTGTGCTTCACGAGGCTAGCTTTCGATGCGGTCGGCGTCCGCCGTGGGCGTCCACGATGCAAATGCTTTGCAGCGTGAGTGTTTATACTTAGTTCCACATTATGTGCGAGCCAAGTCAGAGCTGGAAGCGCGAGCCCGTTGTTCTGTACGCTCCTGGTTTGCATGCGCGCTCGTGCGATCTGTGCACTGTCCAAAGCTCTATGCTCGTGCTCGAAGCTCCGGCTCCGCTCGGACCTACGATTCCTCCCGTCAAGCGCTGTTTCAAATGACAGTGGGTGCCGCCATTACTTTCGGTGCACACAATAGCGTTGCCACGGAAATGTCATCGCAACGCGGTTGTTTGCAGCGAAATTAATGGCGGCGCCCACTCACTAGGCTTCCCATTGGTCAAGAAATGCTCGTTGCGGCTCGTGGCCACGCCTACTTCCGTTACACTTCGCTCCATGCATTGGGGATAGGGACGCCACCTCCTGCCCATTATAACCTCCTTGGTCCACTCAGTCGTGACCGCGGCCACGATTGCAATCAAGTGAAAGATTGAATCCATTCTGAATGTTGCCGTGACAACTACGCCATGTGCGCTGTCCTTTCGGTTACGAAGAGTCGCAAATTTCAACTCTAGCGTGCTGAAGTAAAACACTTGAATACATGCTTGCCTAGAAATTTAGACTGGAGGGTATTTGTGAAGCTCATTCGCCGCGCCAGGTGAATATTTATTGCTAATCGCTGGTCACAACATTTGCTAATCATCACGCCCAAGGTTACTGAAACACCTTCGGCCAATGTCGTGCCCTTATTTTTGTCCTATTCTCCAATAAATAACCAAACTGGGCGGCGCGAGCATGAGGTGGTGTACTGCGGCGTCCAGAACAAAGAAAATAGTGCGGCGACGCGCCGCGCGTGCGCCGTCGTCCCGTCATTTATATCTTGTTTCCCTCTATGCCCTCGATAGAACCGTAGCGATCGACGAGTCGTGTCTTCGCTTTCGGTTTACGAGCAAGCCGTAGCTGCGCGTTGTTGTAGGGCCCTCGGTTCCCAAGTGTACCTGTGGCGTTTTGCGTATCGATCCACAAGCGCCGAGACACGAGCAACGCTATAGTCCTATTTGTCATCTACAGCTCCCGTTAAAAAAAAAAAGGAAAACCAGCAGAAGCAACCATATTATATTGTACCCAGTGGCTGTACATAACGTGCGATGATCAAGAAACCTTGCAATTCGTTTGATTTATTGTAGGATATATATATATCGCAAACACAAAGCGAGAAACATGATCCACCCAAAACTCGGCACCTGCAAGATCGCTTTCCACCACGACGGTAAGATGCAGCTCGGCTCAGGTGACAGCATCCCCGCCAATGCGGAGTTGGTGGAGAAAGAAAAAGGAACGTGATACAGTGCAAGCCACTCTAGCATGCGGTTGCCTGCCGGAATCCTGGGGGTGGAACGGTTTTGCAGGTGGTTGCAGCAGACACCTGTTCTGCTTGAAGTTGCTCTGCAGCTGGACAGTCGACGGAAACCAAAATTAGCACGAGATGGGAAAGCCCGACAACAGCGAAGATTGCGCCCTCTCGTCCTTTTCGCTAGCGTTTCTTCCAGGATCTTGACACCCGCGAGAGGGACACACCTTGATGGGAGCCATGGTGGGTCCGGTAATCTTTTTTCGGAAAAAGGAGGGGGTGGGAGGGAGGGGGAGGGAGGGAGGTTAAAATGCACGTGCAGAATATAGCGTAAGCAGAATATCTGGGGAAAAGCTGAAACCCCATAAGCAACCGGATTGGAAACGTGCTCACTGTCTTATGGCATCTCCAGAGAGGCATGACAGCACCTATGGTTGCAATGCGGCACTGTCACACAGTAGGTTGGAAGCGCCACTGGGCAGCCGGGAGCTGAGTCGCAGCGAGGCCGCAAGAAGTTTCATTAATATATTTCAGAGCAACTTTCTGGGGCTATGCAGTTAAAAATATGAGGGGCGTTTTTGGGAGCCGCTTGGTTAATCTTGCTCAGTCTGTTCACAATCTCCTTGGGGAGCTAACACACATATGCCTTTTGTTTCCTGCTTTTCGGCACAGGTGCCGACTGTTTCAAAAGGGGTTCTCTTCGGGCTTTTTGGAGTGCAGGCATTAGGTCATTCGAAGCCTCATCGAACATCGTAAGCATGGCTACAGGACTAGCTTTTTTATGCGGAATCCCGGGATATAATCCCCCGGTATAAAGTGCCTGCTACACGCAACTGTTGACGAAGATTTATCGATGGCACCAAGGTTCTTCCTTGGTATGCTTTTAAGGAGGTGCTTAGCGATTCATCGCTGTGCAGCTAGTGGAAAGAAAAACCAGAAATATTAACTGATCTTGACTTTGAGTTCCGGACACAATACTAAACCATTGAGCCACGCGAGACAGAACCCGGTGAGCAGCAGGGTGGAGCGGGAAAAATAGTTGGGTCGCAGCGCCCCAACGCAGAAAGAAGTACATGCTTTTTCTTTCGACGGAACAGGCCACGTGAAAGAAGAAGCGGGCGAATCCAGTCCGGCCGTGTACACATGAATGCAGTTCTACAATTAGCCGCTAGGGGCACGACTATTGGACCTCCTCTTCTCTACTCCTTCCCAGTAGCAAAGCGCGACGAGCATGTCAAAGAATGGTTTAGTTGTAGACATTCCGAGCATGTAAGACAAAGACAACGAAAGGTACAGACGGCACTAAAAGTAGAGGTGATTATCAGCCGGAGTGGTAAAATTAGGACAAGCGTGGCTGGGTTGTCGCGAACACACCGAAAGCGAGAGTTACCGAGCCGTTTCCACATTTCGGGCTTGGGGGTGCTCTGCAGGCAGTTATCGTTTGCAAATCTATTTTTTTTTTACTTGATAGATACTGTCATCTATAATATTGATCAGTTCGGCCTCTTAAACCACCACTTATGTTAAAACAGTAAATTAAAAATAGAGACACCACTGATCTAATCAAGCATAAGAAAATAACCCCTGTTCACAATCATGCATTCCCGACCAAGGCAAGAAGCAGAACAATGGTCGTTCAAAACTCTGCTTTGGAACCGGCTGTTGTCAGACGACAGCCCCCGGCCCGCAAAAATGGTACCCTAGAGGCAATCTTGTCTTCGCTCAGTGACTGCAGCGCCACGTGTCACTCTTTCGCCGACCCGGCAGTTGGTCCTCTAAGCTAATATTATTTTAGTGCCGACTGTGCAATCTTATGAAGCTCACGTAAGCGTACACCTGAAAAAAAAGAAAAAAAAAAACAACCTCGGAACTTACCGGTGAACCTCTCGTCATACTTGTCGTGCTTTATTCCCCCGTTTGATACAGTGCACTGATCGGCGAGCGCTTGGGCAACCTCGGCCAGCTCGTCGTCCCATATCTGCGCAAAAGAGACTCCTTTTAAAAAATACGCGCAATCGGGCTGCAGCGCCAATTATCTGATCACGTCATTGTTTGGGCTTGGACTCTGGGCGTGCGTTGGAGACGAGGGCTGACGTTAGCATTCGGCGAGTATTCGGATCCAATCACGGGCTTCGTGTGAAAGAAATGGCAACCGCCAATGTTGCTTGATGGGGTTTTGAAAAAGGATCTATCGATACGGTCGCAATCACGTATCAAAAAGGCAAGAACAGCAAAACATAACACTGGTGAGATGCGCGACCAAAAATGTCGCTGTGCTCGACTTGCCACGATTGGCCAAACGCCCACCACAAAGTCTCTACTGGAATGAGTTCCGGTTTCATCGACGGATGTAAGAGAGCGGTGTCGGAGCGTCCACTTCGTCGGTGTGGACCCAATGACTCCAAGCTTCCACCGTGCCCTTGGCACGCACTATCAATCTTGTCGTCGGGAGGTGATGACAAGTAGCCAGGAAAACAACGCGTGACGTCACGGTCAGACAAATCCTTGTCGTGACGTCACGGAAAGGAAGCATAACAGGGTGTGACCGAAACATGTCTGCGCTAGCACCCGGTGTTTTTGAAAAAGGAAACAGCGCGTTTCTTTTCTCAAACATATCAATGATCCTTAACGGCATGGTCCGCAGACCAATCTACGGCCAACAGAAAGGTACGGTAAACAGAGAGGACCAAACTACACATGTACTATAGTACTAACGCGTTTCAGCGAAACCGCGTTACTTCTCACCAGTTTCTGCATGTCAGCCGCTTTAGGAAAATTGGGAAGATCCCCCTTGGCCACCTTCATGCGATAGTCGTTGTGCGCCTTGAGAAACTCTGTCTTCTTGCTGCTGGAGAGTCCACTGCTGGTGATTTTACATCTTCGGTTTGGTGGCTTGCAGGCGGTGTGCACCAGCCCTCCCGGAGCATTCTTGTATTCGGATTTGCAGACGGCTCCCTCTAGAGTGGCGGGAAGTAAAGCAGCGGACAGGAGGAGGAGACTGGCCATGCAATTGGATGCGCGTCTCATGACGTATTGGTCAGCTGCTTGGGGTCGTAGATATCTTGGGTCCTGGAACTAGCGTCTCCTTCAGCCCGTGAACAAAGAGCACTGCAACAAAATGACTGCAACCTTACTAAAAAGCGTTTTATATATGTCCCGCAATCCCGGTGAAATTAATTGGAAGAACAGAAATATAATGTTTAAAAGAAAACAGAATTCTAGGGTATATGTCTGGGGCACACAGAGTGTGCGACGCGTTTCAGATTGACATTTATTTCAGGGTATTTTTTGTTTTGTTGAATAGCGCAATTTTCGCTGATTTCGTTGGCGGTATTTCAGATTTGATGCGTTTATTGAGTTTCTTTCACTAAGGATGGTGATCGAGCCGAGTTTAAAGTACCGTAGAAAACGGTTTTATGACGTTGGTGCATAAGTTGATTTTTGGTGACGTGGAATGATGGAGATTGATGAATGATGTTTAATGAAAGTCCAACTCTAGGCGATTGCGACAGAAAATAAGAAAAGACGCCATGAAGTTAGTTCCTCTTTAGTAGCTCTAATAAAAATGAAAGCCGTTTACGATTCCCTGTAACGCCGAATTAGAGCGCAGCTCTTGAAGGCGCGGAGGGGGGGGGGGCACGTGACCAGGAGGGTCACGTGACTTGGGGGGCCACGTGACCTGGGGGGGGGTCACGTAACCTGGGGTGTCACGCGACCTCGGGGGCCACGTGACCTGGGGGGTCACGTGACCTCACAGGGAGGTGTGGCCTGAAGGTCACGTGACCTCGGGGGATCACGTGACGTGGGGGGTCACGTGACCTTGCGGGGGTCACGTGACCTTGGGGGTCACGTGACCTTGCGGTTACGCCGACGCCGACGCCGCTCAAGCCGGAAACGGGCGCTTAAGAGCTGCGCTCTAAAATGCACGAGCCTTTCCAAATCACCCCCAAGGTAGTTGTAAGTGTTATGAAAGTCTTTGCAGTTTACGATGCCATAGAAATTCATTTTTACTTTTAAAGGGGCCATGAAACGAATTTTGGGCTGGGATAAATGATTTTAAATTGGGACTTTATTAATCGCATATTGTTTAGTTGGCCAAAAGAAAGAGGGTAGAAAGTCAACAGCCAGCTTTTCGGTACGAACATTTGAAAATATAGCGGACTATTTTGTACCTTCTTTCTTTCGAAAGCACCCCGCCTTTTCACTATGATACGTCCGCGCTTCCCAAAGCGCGTTAGCGGTGCCAACCTGACGTCAGCCGAGCCCGGATCACGCATTGGACACGAGAACTGCGTCACTCGGACGTAAGCGCTCGTCAACAATAAATCCGTCGACGAATATTCGAATTCGCGTTTGTGGCAAATGAGTGCCCCGACGGAACTTATCGTCACTGGGAAATGACAAGTTCTATGGTGTGCATAAAAAGCACGGTGGAAGCTAGGAGTCATCGCACCGGTGCCGAAGGAATGTCACGACCACGTGATTTCACAATTCGCATTTGAGTTGAGGATTAAAGCTAAAGAGGAAGAAGTAGGAAAATCGTTTCATGACCCCTTTAATCAATGGAAATGCACTACAGTATTAAATAATTCCGAAGCAGGATAAAAGCACAATACCATGCTCACTAAAATGTGCTACATGGTGAGTATAAAATATTTCTGTAGTATACATATATGATTTTTTTAAAAGGACAGATAACACGGAAATTTATTGTATTACGTGGGACGACTCATCGATCTTTTTCTTGCTTTGTTGAGATGGAGACAGCATGACGTGACATTGTGCCATGAGGGGAACACTGGCGTCACATGAAATCTAGATGTCAAGTGATATCATGACGTCACGTCGGGCGATACCATGAAGTGGCATGAACGCATCACGTTTGTGTCACGCGGTATCCCTAGACCATGTGACGAAATGATGTCACGTGACATTTTGATGTCTCAGAGACACGTGACAGAACCTGACTCCCAGTGTACCCTTCGGTGCACCCTCCTCGTTCTACAAGATAGGAGGCGCTCGATGAGGCCCTCTGAATGCTATGCATTTAGGACGCCTTTGGGAAATGACGAATAGACTGATAGTTATTTATATCTCTAGCTTCGTGGTTCAAACAATTCTCTGAACGGCTGAGCCATAGAAGCAGAAGCAGACCGGAACATCATGACGTCACAAAACACTGTGACGTCAGGTGACATCATAAAATGGCATCGTGAAATCAAGTGGTCTCATAATGTCGCGTGACACTACGATGGCTTCCGATGGTCATAAAGTCGTCGCAATATGCCCTTCAATGACCTCCTTAGTGTGCTCGCGAAGGGAGGAGCACGATGATGCCTTATAAAGGCAGTGTCTATTCTGCCGGCAGCCGGCAGAATAATTTTTCCGAAATTCTACCGGCAGTCACCTCCGGCGCGTGTATCAGTGGGGAGCTCGTTAACATAGCCCCCCCCCCTCCCCCTCCTTTAGTGGCGACAGTCTGCGGCTGCTCATTAGAAATATATTGACCTATTTGGCCCACCAGTACCACCGCATCGCGGCGCGTGCCGGCCGGCCCAAGCCCCGCTGTCCTCCATTCACCCCCAAAAAGGAAGTGTTTCGTCAACAACATTCGTGTTTTTTTTTGTGTTTACTTTTCAGTGTTTATTCTAAAAGAGAGATGTCGTAAATATCGCCTAATACCTAAAAAAAAAAAAAAAAATTCCGAAGAAAAAAAAAATTTTCTCGGGGGATTGAACTAAGGTCCTGCTGTGTATGAGGCGTCCACTGAGCTAATCCACAGCTTAGAATAGTCGTGTTTACAATCCGTTTTATACCAGACTCAATAGGCGACTACTGCCGGCACTTTTTCCCCCCGGTTATTCTGCCGGCTGCCGGCAGAATAGACACTTCCCCTTATAAACGCTATGGATTTAGAACGCCTTCGGAAGTGCCAGAGCCAACCACGATTCAAATTGCCGAACGGCTGAACCATAGGACGAGGAGGGGAACAACACGGACGCCCATTTCTGATTCCAGAAGCGCGAATCTAAAAGGAAGATACGAAAAATTTGATATTAATTCAGAGATTCACCTTGGGCGCAGAAAAGAAAGCAATCTTGTTTGCAGGATCCTTGAGACTGGAACGTTGACAGTGGCTCGCCTCGAGGTTGATACTGGAAGGATTTCACGGAGCGAACGCTGTTTTGTGTTTGCGCGCGTGAAGTGACATTCTCTTCTTTGTCTTTGCACTAAAGGAGTGCAGTGAACACCATCAGTCTGCCAAGACAATTTTTATGAAAGCGCAGCGCACAAGTACTACTGATCTACCGCGTCTGGTTGCAGTCAGTGACAACTTAAGAAACGCCGACGTGGCGAGGCCTGTGCATCTTATTACCGGTCCGCAGCCAATGAGCTTGCCGCATAAGCAGACAAGAACGCAACAAAGAACAAATCACGAAGCAAGAAGTTTCACCGTAGTAAGGCACGTCCTGTGTTTCGTAAAGGGATATTTCAACAAAATTTGAAATAAACCCGCCGTGTTCAGAAATAGGCTGAATATGATCCACAATATCCGTAAATGACAATCGCACATCTGTATTTTGAGCCTGATGGCTGTACTTTTCTATTAAAAACGGCCACTCTGGCAAACGCCAGAGTGGCCGTTTATGAAACAATGAGGAACCAGTTTACATAAAACTACAAAACTATAAGGAACCAATTTCGTCGATACTTTCAGGATATTACAGCATGCAGCCATTGTGAATTTAGATCAAAACTTTCAGAGCTCGACTGGAATGAGGTTTACGATGAACTAGACGCTGACGAAGCATATAACTTGTTCTTAAACAGATCTCAACGCATATATAAAGAGTGTTTTTCCAATAAAACTGTTAGCTTGTCAAGAAAGAGTCGTAAGCACTGGGTGTCTCAGGAACTTCGAATAAAAACTAATAAAAAGATGCTTTATATAAAATATTCAATGTAACAAGGCACCCTGAAAACCTTAAAACGTTTAAAATATACCGCAATAGACCTACAAAAGAACTAAAGGCTGCTAGAGCAAGATATTTTAGTAATTACTTTATGCCTTCTGCAATGCGAACTGACATGACATGGAAAAAAACTAAACAAAGCGAATTGAAAACTTTATCTTAATGGCATAGAATTAACAGAACGACCACTAGCAAATGCTTTTAATGATTATTTTGTAAGCTTAGTTTGAGAAACCAATAACGAAAACTCAGCGTGGAAATGTAAGCTCGATCTTTCTTGAGCCTGCTGTAAAAATTGAAGTGACGCGAACATTTCAATCGCTAGAAGACAGTACAAGTTGTGACCCTGACGACCTGCAGATAAGTCCCATAAGATATGTGATATAAAGATCTCATATCTCCCTTTTTAACGCACATGTTTAATTTGTGCTTACAGCACGGGGTATTTCCTAAAAGAATGGAGATTGCAAAGGCCAGTGTTTTGTACAAAAAGGGTGATAGGAATGACATAGGTAACTCTAGGCCGATTTCAACATGATCAGGCTTTTCGAAAGGGCTTGAAAATATTCTGCATTCGCGCCTAGTGAAATTTTCTGATAAGCATGATATAATCACTTCGTCACAGTTGGGATTTCGCAAAAACCGATCTACGGAACTTGCTTTTTAGAACAAAAAGATTACAGTTTGCGCAGTTTTGAAGATAATCAGATGACACTCGGAATTTTCATCGACTTCAGCAAGGCATTCGATCATTTAAACTTCAATCTATTGATAAAAAAGCTGGAATTGTACGGATTTCGTGGTTATGCCTCAACTTTAATTACATCACACCTGTCGCATCCAAAACAATATGTTCACATTAACGGCTTCTGTTCTGATGTAAAACCAATCTTATTCAGTGTTCCGCAGGGGAGTATCTTGGTGCCTTTTTCGTTTAACCTGTATGTGAATGATATTATAAACGTAAACCCAGATATTAAATATATAATCTATGCTGACGACACGAGCTTATTTTTTTCAAGCAACTGCTGTGACGAATTAGTATTAAAAGCA